ATACTTTATGTATATTAGGAATTGTTTATTAATATCATAATATAAAATTTATGTAATAGAATTTTTGTTTTATATAAATTACCGGATTAAAAACAGATTATCATATGAATTTGCAGTAGTAGTGTAGTGTAAAATTAATTATTATGTATGACACAATATATTCTTAACTAGCGTGTACCCGCGACTTCGTTCGCGTCGAATTAATCATTTCTAATGGTGATGATAAAGCAAAGCAAGAATTTCCATTAACATACAAACTGGATAAAATTTTCTCACATTTATGTCAGCATGAGAAAAAACAATATGGCGATATTATTATATTTTGGCAGTTACTAAATATGAAAGATAAAAATCATTTTCACCCCATTTCACCTCCTTAGAAAAATAAGTTTGCCAAAAATAAGCTTTTTACGTCAAAAAGTTTAAGCAGAATCGTGGTTAATCAATTACTCAACTTTTTGGAACACCCTGTATGATTTTTTTAAAAATTTCAAAATATTTAAGAAACAAAGTAAATTATGCGTGTACAAACGTTTTCCCGAAAGACTAACCGTTTTTTAAATAACAAATATTGTAATATTTGAGGGGCGTTTTTACCCTCTTGGAATTTGAGATTCGAGAAACACCTCCTTCTCGAACCTCTACACCTCACAGTCAATCCGTTTGCCAAAAATCAGCTTTAAACGTCAAGCAGTTTAAGCAGAATCGGGATTACTCAATGGTCATATTTTATGAAACACCCTGTATAAATTTTTAAAGAATCTTAAAATATGTAAAACAACAAAATAAAATATACGTGTTTAAGAGTTTTTCCGAAAAACTCCCCGGTTTTTAAATAAAAAAATATTCTAATATTTGAGGGGTGGTTTCACCCCCTTAGAATTCGAGTTTCGAAAAATACTTTCTTATCGAACCTCTACACCCTAAAGTCAATCCGTTTTCCAAAAATCAGCTTTTTACGTCAAGCGCTTTAAGCAGGATCGTGATTAATCAATGACCAGATTTTTCGAAACACCCTGTATAGATTTAAAAAAAAACTTAAAATATGTAAAAAACATTATTTATATATTGGCACCAACCATATCAACTCTAGCTGAGTAGCCTCCCGAATCCCAGGGACCTCAGTACCTGCAAGTGGGGATCTGCTAACTAACAAAACCTCTTCAGTTACGAATGTATTAAACCTCAAACCTTGGTATGAAAACAGTGTATTTGTATTATTATTATTTCTCTTTAATTAAAGTTCAAAACAGCATAGTTCAATTCTCTGGAATAGTGATCAGGGTTTTCTCTGCCGTGCTCTTTTACTTGTGAATTCCAGGCTTCCATCTCTGTCTCTGCAAGTACGGCACTCTTTTCATTTCATTTAATAAACTAAGTAGGGTTATTTACAAGTTTTGAGTTTGATTTACATATCTTATTCTCCTCAAACTTCCCAAAATATTGCTTCTGTCGAGCGCATCCAGGTAATCATAATAAACAATATTTTTAAGATAACGTAGATTCCTTTATTTCATATAAATTGTTTTTTATACAGTTAGCCAAAATATCACCTCTTCAAGTTTGTTGAACGAACATGCTTTTTTATACTACAACAAGGTTTCTAACAGGACAGTGTCTCCTCAATGAACACCTCAGTAGGCTGAAGCTGAGGAACAACGGAGAAAGCAGATTTTGTAGGGAAAATGGGGAAACACCAGAAAACCTTATCACTGAGTGCGCCGAGACGACGACCGTTCGTGCCACGAACTTTGGTACGGCTGATGTCGAGGATGGAAAGCTGGCCTCTGTTGAGTCGTCTCACATACTGGCTTTTGTTATAGCCCTGAGACTGTATGATAAGTTAGGGTAATACTGTCTGAATTTTCTATCGACTGAAGCTAATACATCGTAAAATGTATGGCCTAACAATTTCAATACAGCTAAAATTGGTCGAAATCCTTCAATTGTTTGACTCATACTACAATGACAAAATATTATCGACCGTCAAACATATTTATAATCATGATTCTAGGACAGAAAATCAGGGAAGATAAGATAAAATAAGAAAAAATAATATAAGTATGAACCAATAAGTACCTACAAAATTGTAAAGGCTGCTCTGGGTTAAGAAAAATGTAATCAATCTGATCGGGGATAGAAAATTAAATATTTTTTTAATTATATTATAGATATGTTTGCAGGTCTAAACTGAGGGGGGGGGCTAGAATCAAATATATATCTATGAATAAATCTCAAATAACGCTGTTGAAGTTAACTTCGATAGCATCAGTGTGTTTAGATACCTTGTGAGTTTAAATTAGCGAATATTACCTGTTTTAAATAAATAATCTCCTAATCCTAAATCTATATAGAAAATATTTCGATTTTGGCAGTAAAATTCTATTTGTGCGCCGACAAAAATAATATAATTATACCCGTCAACGACATATCAAAGATATCGAAATATTTACAAGAAAACATTAAAACTTTTTATGGATTCCATTTTTTTTAAATCTATTCAGAAGATGCTGGTGAAGACATCCATGCAGAGTTACACTGCTGCAGTTCGATACTTCGTCGTGCGATTGAAATCACAAGAAATTCTAAAGTAACATCTAATAATCTTATTAACTATTCTTATAAGCATCAATGAGGGAACTACAAAAATCCTGATCCTAAATGAAATCTCTCAATTTTTTTAACACGATAAATACATTTTTTCAATCTAATTCTATATATAAGTTAGATATTTTTTAATTGTATAAATAAAATTTCTAACAAAATATTTATTTTTTTCCATAGTAACTGTTAAAATTGCCTTATATCTATCAAAAATAGTAGATAAAATAGTACTTTAACCGCAAGGGTAGATTAAATGATACTTTAACAGCGAGTATAGATTAAAAACTTTATTTCTTCTCGCACGTTTTTTAATTGCTTCCATTTTTGAAAATTTTTATTCCTTTTCATAAGTTATTCGGGATTTAAAGGGAACTAGTTTGGATATGGCGTTCGTATGGCCTCAGCCTGAATATCTGTTGGTAATTTACTTATTTCGTTTTGAGCTATTTCTGGCTCCAATTCAATCAGCAATCGACACGAAAGAGAATTAAAAAATATTGACTCAAAACTGAAAACTAAAGAGACAGCTTTATTTATTTGTCAAATTCCATAGAAACCAACGCCAACCCAGCACAATATTTTTTCTACTCGTAATAAATTTCTTGAAATAATAATTTCTGAATATTTTTTAAAACGTAACTCGCTATGGAAAAAATATTGTTTTATACACGACAATAAAATTGCATTATCGTAAATACCATGTTATCGTCTTGTATAAAAAATAACTATTTATCTACTGAAACCTAAAATTTAATTTCAATAATTCTTAATCCAAAAATTTCTCTAACCAGAGATCCAAATTCAAATCCACATATCACTGTACTAATTCATTTAATTTTAAATGACCAGAAATGTATAACTATTTTAGGTTGCTATTCTAGTCCGGTTTACTATTTTTAAGAAATTCAGATTCTTCAATGTCACGGTAGTAGTTATATTAAATATACAAATAATTAATAAATCTTAAACCCGTTTTTGCAACAGAGGTTATGAGGACAATATACCGGCACATCGCTAAAAGTATCATTTTAGAATTGCTTACAAAATGGTATATCTTTTCTTTTTGACCTAGGTTGTAGTAATAGGTATTATTTGATTAATTCTATAGACTATACCTTCAGCACAGACTAACTTATTCTCTTATAAATTAGTCTGTAGAATGAATCCTATTTATTAAAAAAATAAATAACAATATGATCGAAAAAAAAAACGTTGTTAGCAATGGCTATGGATATGATGAAGATCGCTGTCATTTTATAAGTAAAATTATATGGGGAATGTCATCGCAATTCATTTCCAAGCCAACTGGACACCGTTATTTTTCACCATACAGTATAAAATATTCGGATCCTCTAATCTTTAATCTATAAATAATTTTTAAATTTTTGAATTTGTATATAAATATTCGACATGAGTGTACGGGGTGTAAATAAATAAATAAAAAAACAACTAGGTAACTGAATTTTTTTTAATTAAAAGGGTTTTATATAAATTTGTGGATTTGATATTTTACTACAAAGTTATTTAATTGTATAGAATGAATCAAAATCGTTATATTGTTTTTGCCTTTTCTCAAAAATGGTGTAAACTAAAAATTTTAAATTTTATAGAAAACTTATTTATATTACATATACAGAGTGTTGAAACAAGTGCAATATTACACCATATTTATTTTTTTATTTCTCACCAGACTAATTTAGAAAACAAAAAAAAAATTAAAAACAGTATGGTCTGTCTGTCTTACAGTTTTTAAATTATTGTCTCAATAACACCAGATCAAGGTACCATCAAAACAACTTAAATAAGTATGTTGACACTTGTTTGGTTTTGCATTGTTACCTTTTCAGTTTTAAATTAGTAGATGTAATATTATCTGATATTATTAGAAAGTGCCCCTCCCTAATAGCTAGAAGGTCAATGGGGGACAGTGGAGAAAAACGCGAGATTCCTACGCATCCTAATTGTTAAACTCATGTATTATTTTATATTTAAATAATAAACATATATGATTAAACAATAGTAGTTTAAGTCATACTACATGGCGCAGTCGTAGTGGGTAAAAAGTGGAATAATACCAAACAATACAAATTGGCGTGGATTGAAGTTAAAATTTACACTAGACAACATAACAGCATTGTTAGGAAAGTAGTGAAAAACGCTACTTCAAAAAACTTTGGATTAAAAAAACCAAGAACCTAAATAAAATAAAATAAAAAATATCTATATTACATTAATAGTTATTCCCTCGCTCCTAAATATGTATGTCATTTTTTTGGTGTAGTTATTTTTATGTCATTTTTTTATAATTACTTCCCCTGTATAATAATAATTTTAATAATCTCCTAATAAATACTATTAAAGTATTAAAAAATACCTTAAAACATTAAATAACTTACCATTATTAAAATTGAAGATTTCATTGTCACTGTTTTGTTTAAAACTAAAAATTAAAAAGTACTTTTCATTCAAGAAAAAGTTAATTTTCAAGCTCAAAGTCTCTATTTCACTGACCACTGTTACAGTTTTTAAATTAATGTCTCAATGTCACTAACACCAAAACTGGGTACCATCAAAATAGCATCGTACTACATGCTAACTTGCGATTGCAAACTCGTTTGGTTCTTGGCCGCTCACCGTTGTCGATTATATCAAAAATAAACAAAAAGAAAGTACTGATTAAGAGACGATTCGGAAACGATGGTACTTGACTCGAAGTACGACCGGTACCCGGCGCGGAATAGCTGCATTTTTGCGAGGATAGAAGAAATGGTACTACACTGCTTAGAGAATGCGAGTAAGTGTCTTGGTACTTGGTACTAAGCATACAGGGCGTAAAGGAAATAATTAGTGCGAGAAAACGTGGCTGATTTCGTATTTATTATGTATTAATACAGGATGAGTCTTAAATAAGTGCAAATATTTTTAGCGGCAGTATATTTCGACTCCAGAAACACGATTATTAGATTTTTTTTCGCGAAAATTTTTTTTGCAAAATTTAGATTTTTTTTGGAGTTTTTTAAGTTTTTAGTTAAAAAAAACATAATTTCGTAGATTAAGTCGTAGATAAAATGTATAAGAAAGAAAACCCAGAAAAGGCAAAAAGTCATTTTTTTTTAGATTTTCAAAGTGAAATAACTCGGTTATTTTGGACTTATTTGAAAAATGGTAACGAGAAAATATGTTTCTTTTATTGAGATCTATCAGCAAGTACTTGAGTATACTTGAGATCGAACTTATTCTTTGCACTTATGCATCATTCATCATGTATTTAGCAGCGGTTCTCAAGTGCGGTTCATCTTTCAGATGAGCAATATTTTTATTGCCTAAGATTTACAGCGGATTATAAGAAAAAATGCAAAGAATAATGCCGGGACCCCATTATATAGCCAACACGCCACGCCATGCCATGCCGCCCCACGTCAAGGAGATATGTGCGTATGTTTTTCCATTTAACTACATGTATTGCGAACACACGGGGCAACATGCCACCCACGCTATCCCACGCTATCACACGTGTGATGACAATCCCATATCTCATGTGTACGCTCTTTCCCACGTCGCAACACGTGGGCCCACGTGAGATAGCGTGGCATGTGGGCCCTAATGGGGTCTCGGACCAAAAAAAATGAAAAGTAAACTACATACTCCGGTTATGTCTGGTTTGATATTTGACTGCTGTGAGCGAATATCTGGTTCTCGCGTTTAGACGTGATTCGTATTTAGTCTTGGTAGTCACATAAACTAAACAAACCGAATCACATAAATATGTTGTGGCAAATGACAAATTGTGAACAATTTTGCCTCTGCCGAACATACAATCTGACAAAATTTTGTATTTTTCTTTTAAGCTGTACCCTGCTGTACCAAAATTCATAAAGTGAATGTCTGTTGCATTTTTTTTATCGCGGAATCCGACCTCAAATCAATCAAGCATTCATACTGCTCACGAGTATAATGCTGGGTTTTCAGAAAAATAAAAGTATTTGCAACCCAATATTCTGATTCTAATAGACACCTACCGCTGCATCCTTCAAGCAGAAATCTACATTATCGAAAGATGCGTACAACTTATCTCAGATAGGAACTATCGGAAACAAGAAATGTCTCAGCAGCATTAAGTCAAGCAGCATTAAGTCCTCCTACTCTGGATGCCAGCCCACCAAAGAATGGAAGGCAACGATGCATACAAACGATAGCTAAAAGGAGCGAACACAACTAGTTCCACGAGAACCGTTCTGCTTCCCAAGTGAAAACCAACTTAAAACGGAACTCAAGAACCTGGAAGACTCCATCCGTAATACCTCAGTAAATTGAAGCTAAGAAAAAATGGCGAATGCAGATTCTGTGGGGAAAATGGGGAAACATCAGAACACCTCATCACTGAGTGCGCGTAGACGACAAACATTCGTGTCATGAATTTTGGTACGACTGATAGCGGAGATAGTGAACTAACTTGTGTAAAATTTTGTTAAAGCCCTGAGACTATATTATGCTATACCTCAGTACCCTATATATACCTCAAGAAAGGGGGGCACAATAGATCTGTAATGTCGCGGTGATTAAGCACCCTCCTCATACATTCTACAACCTAATATTCTCGAAAACTTCATATTTGACAAGTGCACTTGGATAGGATACGCGGTGCATTTGGACAGAATTTGCGGTACTCAGTATATATGTATATACTGCAGTACACAGTTTGGAAATATGCTGATATACAGTTATTGAGTGGCCCAAAATCAGAAATTATCTGTGTTTGTAGATTGAATGCTTTATTGCACTTCAAATATTTAACTATAATTTTATACTCCCATTAGAGGTTAACTTTGTAGGAACGAAATATACAGAGTGTTATTTAAAAATTCTTCGCTCGGTTATTTTTGGGTTAGACTGGAAGTGGTACTCAATTGTTTTTAATATAAACTTTAATAAACTACTTTATATTCAGAACCAAAATTTCAAATTAACTCATTAAAAATCAATCAAATTATGACCTGTGTAATGATTTCCTTGTCTCGCGATACAACTTATAAATGAAGTGGTATTGTTAATTTATTATGTATAATTAAATTTGAATTATATAAGACTTAAGTACTTTAAAAACGGTAAATTAAATACTTGCAAAAGTCATATAATTCTTTAATTGGCATAATCTTGATTAGTATAATTTTTAAGATTAATATTAGGAATTAAATCACGACTTGGTAGTTTTAACAAGATACTTGATAATACAATTTGTAATACCGAGCAAAATACGATAAATATTTTTCTAAATTAGGATTTCTAAAATCGCATAAAAATAATTAACAATGGTATTGATGTTTATTTTTAACTTCATCATCTGAGAGTGGATTTACTTTCAAACATTCGTATTTAGATTGATTCAAATTAATGAATAAAAAAATTGTAAAAGCTATCTAAAACTTTTATTTCACAAACCCCACACCATAATTCACGATTACAATGATGAAAATGGGTAACTCTTGATAATATACAGGGTGGTCCGAATTGTATTCCAGAAACTTCGGCAGCATATTCTGCAGATAAAAATAAGTAAAAAAAGTTCGTATAAATGTATGTCCTAAAATGATTAATTTCGGAGATATTAAAGGGTGTAAAAGTTTCACTCTTATTTCAATTTTTTCTAAATAATTTATTAAAGTAGTAGTCTAAATAATTTCTAAGTAACGGATCGGGTGCTTAACCAGCAGTACTCAGAACATCGGCGCTTGCATTATGCTATTCTGCTGCAGAATATGCCTGCCAGTTTGGTATAGATCTTCCCATGCCAGTCATGTGGATATTGCCTTGAACAAGATCTGTCGAATAACATCAGGATGTCTGAAGGCTACACCTGCCTACAAACTCTACAGTTTGGAAGGAATACCCCCACCAGATATAAGAAGAGAAGCTGCCGGGAACACTGAGAGACGTAAGATGGAGGTAAACGCTGTTCATCCGTTGCATGGACATCAACCTCCCATAAATAGATTGAAATCTAGAAAGACCTTCCATCGATGGCGGGTCAAAACTTGTGGACACTGAGAAATGCAGATATCGCATCATGGATCCCACCTTCTGAATCCCTTCCGCCAAGTGCAGACCTGCAGTGGAAAACAGACTAAGAAGTGTGATTGGCAGAACAAAAGATAACATGGCCAAATTGAATTTTCTTAGAGATCCACCAACATTGTGACTCTGGTACAGAACCAACCACCAGACATCTATACCGGGTGCGTCTCAAAAGTGGCTCACCCCTATAACTTTTTTGTTTCCTCAGATAAAACAATGATATTTGGTATGTTAGTATATGACATAAATTGGGATTGATTGACGTATTCAATTGTTCTCAGTCACTTCCGGTTTCACTGGAAATGACTGCAACTTTTGATTTTTAAATGGCACCCTCGGTATTCTTTTACTTTATTCGATAGAAAATGACACTCTGAATCGAATGACATATAATATGTCAACTTTTGACATTTGGGCATATGGTTTATTTGAAATTGTAACATGCGGTTCATAACGACAATTTGACTCAAAATACCAAGTGTGTGGTATCAAATTATTCGTAAAAAATGCTTTTTCCAAATATGCTAATGAACCACCCTCGTTCCATTTGAAAAAATTGAGATATGATTAAAAATACGATTTGGGCATCTTTTAACCGGCCAGGATAAGACACTAAAAATATTGGACGATCAAATTTATTTTTCCAAGGCTCCTTGATTAAAAATTAGTGTTTTTAACACAGCCATGGCACTCTAGATTGAAATTTAAAATGGAATTTGTTTTTGAGTGACTATGTCAAAAATTGACATATGATATGTCATTCGATTCAGAGTGTCATTTTCTATCGAATAAAGTAAAAAAATACCGAGGGTGCCATTTAAAAATCAAAAGTTGTAGTAATTTCCGGTGAAACCGGAAGTGACAGAAAACAATTGATTACGTCAATCAATCCCAACTTATATCATATACTAACATACCAAATCTCGTTGTTTTATCTGAAAAAATAAAAAAGTTATAGGGGGTGAGCCACTTTTGAGACGCACCCGGTATAACTGCCCTCAGTGTGCTTATTTCTGGTCTGATAATATTTAGTGTTCGTACAATGTTCATTTTTTTTTAATTTTTACAATTTCTATGTTTGTATAACTGTCTTCAATTTTACCTTTGCAATATTCTTCTGTTTGTCTTTATACATTTTGTATATATTTTTTATTAGTATTTTTGTATATATATTTTTTTACGCAATGCTTTTGGGGAATGATCAATAAATAAATGCGCGTGGAAAAATACTTACTCTTCATTCTTTGTTCAGTACATCTTGTTGTACTGAGCGTGTTGATCGTACTCTTCGTACACACGAAAATCGGCACCCAAAGCCTGACCTTGCCAGCTCTGTATACATTGTACCGCAGATTGCAGATTACCTCAACACAAGCAAAAAGTTTTCCTGTTAGATAAAACTCAGGGATATCTCTAATACAACTATAACTCTAAATCTCTCTCTCTCTCTCTCTCTAGCTAATTCGTAAGACAAGCCCATGATAAGAGATTATCCTTTTCTAGCCTTTCAACAATTGAAGGATTACCATTAGAAGTATAATATAAATCATAGGTATTTTTGTTTAAAAGTACCACCTTCTTCAAAATAACACATGAGAAAGTAGGTAAACCTAAAATACGATAACTATATAATATATTCACCTGATTAAAAATTCGTTATATTATCTTCTTTCGTGAAAACCTCTTTAATCGTTAAACATTAAGAAGATAGGTGACGAGAAAACATACTATGTGGAAAATTACAGAGAAAATATCATAAAAAAGGAGTAAAAGTGGCTACATAGAATAAGGATATATCGCACGAAATGCATACATCTGTGTCGGTAGGTACACATTCAAGCTTTCATTTAGCATTTTCAAAGAACCAAAAATTTTCCATGATTCGGGTGTATAGAATTATCTATACCTCCAGTAAGAGAAGGGATGATTTTAACACACCACATATCAAAAAAAAATACAGAAAATAGTATTTTTTAGTGTTGAATTAATATAACGAAATGACAGACACTTTCCCGTTGGACAGACTACATATTTTGTAACTTCTCAATGTGGTAAAATACAATCACTGAAAGCAGTCAAATTTATTTAAGTATAGATTATTAACGATAATCTATATTAAGAATTAATCCTGTAGAAAGTCTATCGTCTGTATGGATAGTTGTTCTATAGCAAGTCTTCACAGAGTAGAGAAATTTAGCGGCGTGCTTATGATTCTGCTTAATTTGTTTGTTTAACTGGATTGTAGGTTTTTAGAATTGCAGTTGTTTCGTAGCACAGTTCAACCAGTAGGTTTATACTGATTTTTCAATATTTCCAATTAATATTTCGAAAACAACACGATATCAATCACGACTGAGACAGCAAAATCACTTACCATAGACTAAAAAATTTGCATTTCTCCTCCATTATAAGATAATTGTAGCAAACTTTTCTATTCTATTTTATTAAAAAAACAATGCTCCTTTAAAAATAATGTATATTTTAAAATATTTAAAAGTACAGTAGGAATATTAATCTAAGTATCAAGCATACATACATACATACATGTTCTTAAAAGTTTTTAACAAAAAATAAAAACATCTAATATTCAAGACATAAAGTAATTTTTGCGAGAATTTTTGTATAATAAGTAGATTAATTAGACAAGTTTTTTTTCATAAACAAATTAATAGAAACAATTAATTCAAGCTTCAAACTTATCCTAAAGAAATCATGGTTCAGAAACTTCTTAAGAATTAGCAAATGCTTCACAATATTGATAATCATGCACAATATGCTTTTCTCCAAATTCATAGAATTAAAAATGTATAACTATATTAAAACATAATACAAAGTATCCAAGGCAAATTATTTTCTTGTCCTAAATGCTACTGAGAAATAAGCTACATAAAAATGTATCTAAATAAAAATAGATATTGTAAAGCTTTAGGCTGTTATTCTAATATTATCCTCCATACAATTTTTAAAAATATATTTTTAACCTAAATTCATACCGCTTAATAGCAGTCCTACAGTGTTATTTTTTAAGACATACCATATATAATATAACCATAAAACATCTCTACAAATAAACATTAACAAATTATAATTTAATAGTTCCTACACTAAAACACTGAGGTCTTAAAAACTATAGCTGAAAATAAGTGTTTTGGGTTATAAACACACACGAGAGTCACTGATCCGACGAAAAGAAAAAGAAGGAGGAGTCTTATTCCGACTCCTCCTTTATCAGTGACACTTCGATCATTGACAAATCGAGCATATGACGTTGGTATTTCTTAAAAAATGCATGAGCTGAGGCAACACTTTTGAAAGTTATAGTTGCATGTCGCTCATTTTTATCCCTTTGCAGCTTCTGAAACGCATTTACAAAGTAAAATTAACCAGCAATTAAGTCTGTAACGAGTTTTGGTAACTTATATGTATTACGATATTAAAATACTAAAATTCCTAGATATGAAGGTGAATACGTAGGTTGCCTTTTAAGTTTTTAAAATCGCTTGTTTCTTCGGTTGTACTGGACACGGCACAACCATTCCATTAAAGGATCGAAGATTCTTAAGAGTCTATTACGCTGTACTTTTCGATCGCTATTAGGGGTTGGGTAAAGCGGGTGTGGGGCCGAAGAAAACATATATTACATTTCAGAAATCTGCCTAAGGTTTAGACCGATCCTGTCGTGTTAAACCACACCCAAAATTCCAAACACACGTGCCTTGATTAAGGTTTGCAGAGCCTTAGCATTTGCCATAAAATAGCGAGTAATTTGTTACACAACCATATAAATTATATATCACTGTAATCAGAAAACTATAATCTATTTCCGTATTGTAACAGAATTTTAAATTATGTCTTTATTTTCGAGAAAATTTAGTCCAAACATAAGGAATATTTTGTTGATGTTTGACCATCAAAATCTTAAAAATAAACGAGTTATCTAAAAATGTGCTACAATACGGATATAGTATAATCCTTCATCTTTAATATCCTTCTTCATTTGTGTAAAAATACCTAGCCAGTTTTACATAAAACGTTAAATGCCGAACGCTGATTTTGCTACTTCTTCGGACTAGTGAAATGGACTCTTAACGGTATACAACAATTTGTTTGTCAACGGTCTTCGATGAAAAAGAACAAAAAACGTCGCATCATTCTTCATCACGACAATGCTCCCATAGATCACGTCAAACAACTGAATATTTGAAGGAGAAAAACTTCGAATTAATGTGTCATTGCCCGTATTCACCCGATTTATCGCCTAATGACTTTTTCTTGTTCCCCACTGTCAAAAAAAAAGATGCGCGGACAGCGATTTTCATCACCTTAAAAAGCTGTTGAAAACTTTCAAAACCATGTTTTTACGATATCAGGTTTTACGATATAAGCTTCAGAGTGCAAAAAATGTTTCCAGTATTGGTTTGAACGTTGAACGTATGCAAAATATGTATAGGCCATAGACCTTAAGGGCGAATATTTCGAAAAGCAATAAAACACTTTGTTTGGAACTTGTTCGTTTCTGTTTCACTTTTTGTAAAAACTTAAAAGGCAACTTACGTATTATAAACATAATATATACAAACTATATATAGTAGTATAGATATTATACACATATAGCACCATTTATAATCTTTAATATATCTTAATAATACACTAATTTTCATTAAGGTGCCCCTTTAATGCGCGGAAGTCCAATATCGTCGTTGTTATCAAAGATATAAAGAAAAGTTTTATATAAATAGATTGCAGGGTTTATACCGGATGCGTCTGAAAAGAGGCTCGCCCCTATAACTTTTTTTATTTTTTTAGATAAAAAAAAACGAGATTTGGTGTGTTAGTATATGACAAAAATTAGGATTGATTGACGTATTCAATTGTTTTCGGTCACTTCCTGTTTCACCAGAAATGACTACAACTTTTGATTTTTAAATGACACCCTCGGCATTGTTTTACTTTATTCGATAGAAAATAACACTCTGAATAGAATGACATGTCGTATGTCAACTTTTGACATTTTCGCATATGGTTTATTTGAAATTATAACTTGCGGTTCGTAACGAAAATTTTACTCGAAATATACCAAGTGTGAGGTGTAAAAAAAGCGATATAGCATTTTAAATAATGCGATACTTGCGGAGCCATAAAAATGCCAATTTTAATCACTTTTCGTATAATATAGTGTTCTAACCAAAGTTTCTGTAAATAATAAATTGAATGACAACACCGCATAGCACTTCAAATAAAAATATAGTGTACCATATGCAAAATTTTATACTGAATCCAATTCTGTACAGAAAAATGGGGGTTGCAATTTAAAAAACTAAAATCTTCATCCTTACTTTTTTCGAGACACCCTGTCTTCAACAAAACATTTGTAGAATAAGCACATATATAGTGTGTCCCAGAAATAAGTGCAAGTATTTTAAGGGGTGGTAGATCACGATAAAAGAAACATAATTATTTTCTCTTTATCGATTTTCAAAACATTCAAAATAACGGAGTAATTTTAACTCCGTTAATTTTACTTTGAAAATTTCCAAAAAAAATGTATTTTTTACTAAAATTTTGAGAACCACTGGATCTTTTCCGGATTTTCTTTCTTGTAAAGTTAATCTAATACCTATTGCCATATTATCAATAAATTATGTTTTATTAACTAAAAACTAAAAAAAAATCCAAAAAATTTTTCAAAAAATTTCGAATTTTCAATTTTTTTTTTACGCGAAAAAAACCTCATAGGTGTGTTTCTGGGGTTGAACTATACTACCAGTTAAAATACTTGCACTTATTTCTGGGACACCCTGTATAAACCATGCAACATTTATATATTTTTTCCATATTTTCGACAACGACGACGATATACCTCGTACTAATGGGCCACCTTATACCGTATGATCGAAAAAAAAAACGGCGTCAAATACGTATGAGGAATAACAATGGATGATAATTTTAGCGAGGTTAATCTCTAGACGTCTTTACTAAAAATTGACATAAATCTCCAAATTATCACCGATTTTTATTCCTCAGTCGTCTTTGACGCCGTTTTTTTTCGATGGTATGGTATATTGTTCTGTACAATCAAATGTGTCACAAATATATTTTCACAGAAATATGACCTGTCAATTATTTTTTTTAAATAAAATATTCAAGAAAATCGCAGTTTAGCGTTAACAAAAACTTAACCAAACCAAAATATTTAACATTATTAAAAAAATACCATAGAATTATTTCCGAAAAAAAGCAGATAAATATATATTGAGTAACTCAGTTTTTGTAATTAGACATTGTGAAATATCTTATTGTATTCATTGATAGTAATTAACATCTCTATTTTAAAGCAAAAATACTAATAACGATTAATTTAATTTCTTTGTATATATTATTCGTCTCTTTTTTTTTTCAAATTTTATTTTCTATATTAACTTCTTATTGTCTGAACACATGGTTTTAGATGTTTGAAAATACGAAACTATGATGTTAAGGATAACATTCTTTTTGTTTAAAAATTTGGCATAACATAATTCTTTAATTATGTGCTACAGTAGTCCTCTAATTGCGTAACGTATTTGTGTGTGTGGAGTTATTACTACACAAACTATAATTAAAAACGTTTAAAAATTTGGTTTATCATTCGATTTTTTTCTAATTTATTATTGCTGTTATATTATGTTACAGTAATCATTAAATTTCTAATTACAGCCTTAACAGAGGTAACTACTTATATTATGTATTATTTATTATTATATAACCTGCATAATTTTTTTTAGAATATTATGATGTCAATTGAGGTCAACTTATTTTAGAAATAATGACGCTCGACATGCATTCATAATTGAATGACAAAATCATAATTGAATGACAAAATAATCAGTTTTTGTTAATTAATACTTCTATTATTTAATTATCAATATAAGAATTAGGGTACATAGTGGAGCATTTCATTTCTCCGCGATGCTCGCCACGATGTAGGCATCGTGGCTAGCATCGCGGCGGGATAAAATGCGCCACTATGTTGGTACCCTTACAATGCACAGCCTATTACATAATGATATGCAAAATCCAAAGTAGTTGAAGAAGTTTTACAAAATACCTATTTATTTTATTTATCATCGATTATAAATAATATATTCTCAAAAAATTATAAATGTATTAAAAGATATTTATCTTTGTACTTAAAATGTATAATTTCTGAATGTGTAAATAAACAAAATACATAATTTAAAATATATAAACTGTTTTTCCAAAATAATAAAGTCATTCCAAATTTAGTAATATACACTCGTATAACGGATACCTAACGGCAACCCCTCCCATAACCAAAAAAAATTGCCCCAAAACTAAATAAATTCTAAACAAATTAACTTTTCATTTTCTTATAATAAAATTAAAACAGATTTAGACCAATTTTAAAACGAATAATTTTGTAGGTAACAGTATAAACAAACATAATTTTAAATTTAATTTGAATATAAACTTTAAAAAAAATCCATATTATTATGGAATTCATTAAAGTGATACAAAATTGATTTTGTTTTCAAAACAGCCTCGAAACAAATAAATGTTCTTCCATTAAAAATATCAATCTCCTTTGGTTTGGTTTGGTTTGGATTGATTCTCCATAAACGTTTTATTTTACTTAAATATTTACTTCAATAATGATTAAAGAGAATATACAAAATACAGGGTGTCCTGAAATTCCGTGGACATAGAGCTACTATATATTTTTAGAATTAAAATAAGTCCATTGGACACAATTTACATCTATGCAAAAGTCGTTCGTTTGTCCGTTAGAGGGCATCAAACTTAAAAAAAAATACATTTTTAAAGATATTTTTAAGAACCGTTATTCCGATTTGAATGAGATTCAGGGTGCTTATGTTTTGCCAAACGCTTTAACATTTGATTTTCACAAAATTCACGAAAAAAATCAGGAAGGGTGAAGACCATCACCCTCACACCTACATAAATTCTAGTAGAAATAATTTCCAACTCCACCGACCGGTGGTTCATATATTTTAAATTAATTAACATTCAGGTTTATTTTTGATTGATGCCCTCTAACGGAAAAACGAAGCATTTTTTATAGATGTAAAAAAGTAAAGTAAAGATTTCAGTTAACGTCTCCTTTTTGCTGCCAGGGCTAACCTGGACGGGGCATACTTTGTTTTACGCGGAATCCGAACCACGGTCCTCGGTCATATCATGGTCAATGGCCTACCGGCTTGGCAAGTGTCCAAATCGATTCTTACTCACGAGATATCCTATCTGGTCCGGCCTGGAACCGGAGTGAATGTGCAGTGTGTGCCAATAGATTTTACACTTTTGCCTTTTTTTGGACAACAACACGAAACAGATTTTCGAACCGGTCACCCGTCCATCCACTAGTATCGCCTTACGTCGCTTAACTTCGGTGTTCTCATGGGAACCGCTGTTTCGACGTAGATGGACCGTTGCCTAATAGATGTGACTTGTACCCAATGTACATATTTTGATCCCAAAAATACGTAGTAGTTCTATGTCTACAAAATATTGGGACGCCCTGTATAAGATCACTAGTTTTACTTTAACACTCTCTAGCTACGAAACAAAGCAGAATCGGACCTATGTTGAAATAAAAAATAAATCTTATTTTTACCTGAGGAATCTCCCCACAAGAGATGGCACATGTTTTTTGAAACACCCCATATACTATTCGGTCGTTGGATAAGACCATATTAAGTATTCCAAATGTCTAGTAAACTAATATAATTTCAAATTTATAATCAGGAAATTTAGTCTAATTTCCTGATTATATATGAAATAATATAAATAAAAAAGATGTTAAAACAAATTCAATTTTGTAGCACTAATAAACTGTCTGTTATGTTTTGATTTTTTTGTATTTAGCAGTAATATAACCTATGCAATATTTAATACATTTATGCAAGTGTAAATGAAAAATAAGAATGGTTGAAAATCAAACTAATGGACTTGCATAATGTTCGAATACACCCTCATATAAAATATAAATTTATGATATGACATAAAATATATTATATAGGATATCAACAGTCAACTTTTAATAAACTTAAGAATATCTTCTAAAACATCTCGACTTACATCTAAAAGGTACAACAAAAAAAAATAATAGAAAGTAAAACAAAATAATAAATGTTCTCATTATTTCTATAGCATTTCCATCCCATATACTGAGGTCAGTTTCTAACGATTTCCGTGTTTATCTATACTGATTCAAAATTACTAAATTTCGAGATATAAAGTAGACAACTGAATCTCAAAACTGGACGCCATTTTTTTTCAATCATGTGGTATATTACCCAATTAAGTTTGAATACTCCAATTTCAGACACAATATAAGAACAAATATTAAGAACACCACCAGCAAAGTCACAAAGGCTCTCATGATATGTAGAAGCCTGGCAGACCTAACCTAACCTAACATGTCTCCTCAGCGAACCTCAGTTGATTGAAGCTAAGAAACAGCGGCGAATGCAGATTCTGTGGGGAAAATAGGGAAACACCAGAACGCCTCATCACTGAACGCGCCGAAACGACAATATTCGTGCCATAAACTTTGGTACGACTGATATCGGAGATGGAGAACTAACCTCTGTAAAACCGTCTCAGACACTAGCTTTTATCAATCCTGAGACTGTATGAGTTATAACTCATACACTCTCAGGATTGACTGAGTCTCAGGTTATAACTCGTTATAACGCAAAAAGGGCAGGGTTGCCAACGTTCAAAGTAAAAAATAGAGGACGACAAGGTAAAAAAGAGGCACAAGCGAAACATTTTTTGAAACCTCACCCAAATGTCTAGTATTTACCAAAAAGTTATGTCAAAGGTATTTGATTGATGGTCTTTCTTACTCTCTTAAAAATTATATACTCAAAACTTGTTAAAATAAAACAAACCATTTTCAACAAAACATTTTTTTCAAAACATAAATTAACAGTAAATAAACAAAGTAGTTAAACATGTTTATTGCTTTCACAAATATTTCTTGTGCATAAATATTTTCTCATTTTCTTTTCTGTGCAAATGAGTGGAAGTAGCCAAAGAAAGAGATTAATTTTTTTAAACATCGTGGCGATCGACGAATATTTTTTTAGATTTTGAGTTTGGTATGTAAAAAAGAGGACTTTTTCAATGCGTGAGAGAAAAAAGGACAGTGAGATCAAAAAGAGGACTGTCCACCGTCCCATCAATATTTCTTACAAAGCATCCTGTATACTCAAAACGAATTTAGGGCTGGAACAAATTCCCCATAAGGACCACTAAATAAACTGTAGTTGGGGGTTTACAAATTTATCCATGACATTTATTAACCTAACCTAAACAGATAAGCACAAACTAAACAAAATATAATAGAAACAGAAAAAATTACCAAATATGAAAGATAAACATGTTATATTATTGAAGCCATAAAAAAATTTCGAATCTGAGAATTTGTTATATGAATGGAGATGCTACAGTAAAAAAAACAGGATAATTGTATTGTATCAGTTAATATTGTGTAATCAAATTAATAAAAAAATAAATATGTACTCATCCAATATCACAGCTTAATAAACAATTGCAGGTTATCCTGGGGTAGCTTACTTTAAACTGAAACCATGGTAAATTGTAAGGGTGTCGTTTATTGTCTCCGATATTGATTTTAGAAGAAACTTTTAATGGAACTTTTTAAAGTATGGGTATTAGATAAGTAGTCTGATCTACAACCTAACCTAACCTAATCAACTTTGCAACTCTTCCACTAAGCCGTTTTTAATTTATTTGCAAAATTAGGTTCTTCAAAAAAGTTATTTGTACAACCGTAGAACACTCCGGCCACAAGTAATCTATTAAACATTGTGAAACGGTTTTAAAGTCCTTTACTGGGTACCAACCCACCAAGAGATAGAAGGAAAAAAAGCAAAGATCTAGCTAAATAAAAAAATAAAGCTAAGATCTAGCAAAGATCTAACTAGAAAAGGAGAAAACACTCCACTAACTGGACCAGAACCATACTGCTTCCCAAGTGAAAACCAACTTAAAGCTGAATTTAAGAACCTGGAAGACTCCATCCTTAACCTGGAATGGGAATCTTCCAATGGTCTAAGAAACTGGAAGAAATTTTTCACAACTTACGACCGAGAAAAATCAAAGATTTTTCTTGATTTAAGTGACAACAATCTTCAGATTGTCACGGGGTTTGTAACAGGACAGTCTCCTCAACGAAGACTTCAGTAGATTGAAGCTAAGAGACAAAAGCGAATGCAGATTCTGTAGGGAAAATGGGGAAACACCAGAACACCTCATCACTGAGTGCGCTAATACGACAACCAGTCGTGCCATAACTAGCATCTCTGAAGCCATCTGAGATACTGCCTTTTTGCAAAGCCCTGAGACTAGGAAATGCAATCCCGCAAAGGCGGGATCCCTCTGAGATTCCGCGGGATCAAAGTTGCAAGATTTACCGTGCGGGATCCGCGGAATTTACACATTACTACTGGGTAACCGAATCGATCTCGATTAGGATCAAACCGCTTCGTTCCTGGCCGATGCATCGACGCTCGGAACCCGGGGGAATTCCCCTTGCGGCTTGACCATTAAAAATAAGTGAAACAAACAGGTTAGTTGTTAGATTTCTTTCTGGCGTATGTGCGTAAGTGAAGAAAAGCGTTTAACTAGTACTTGTGGATAATTTCGTCAAATAAATTGCAGGACATAATTATCGGGACAAGCAAAATTTTAGGGTAAATTTAAAGTTGAATATCTCTTGAAGTAAAAAAGATTTTGAGATGCGGTTTGGACCAGGTTTTAGAAGCATCTATTGTAATTAAGATGCTATGTGGTTTTCGAAAATATATTTAGCGAATTCTCGTATACAGAGTGTTTTATAAGAGTGTGAAAATTTGGTCAAGAATCTTTTTTATAGCAAATTTACAATTTTTAAAAAATCGAAATTTTTACCATGTACGACTAATCTGTATTGAAATTAGAAAAAACAATTTCATAGTTTATTTAATTTTTTTTGTTTTAAGGAAAATACGTTTTTTTCGAAAAAATATGCATTTTTAGTCATACGTATGGCCCTAAATGGTACAAAAAGCTTTGTATATTCTGCATATGCCAAAAAATTATTGATATAGAGTGTATCTAAAAGCAGATAACTAATACAAGTTAAAAAAAAACCTTCAACATCAGAATAATATTTTCATTTATAAAATAAGTAGACAAATTATAATAAAATTTAAGTTTATTTAATATTAAATATATTTTTTGAACACCCTATATACATCGGTCCAAATTTCTATACAGCTAGTTTAAGATACACGCTATATCAATATATTGTGGGCCTATGCAAAATGTACAATGCCTTTTGTACCATTTAGGACCAAATGTATGACTATTGTTTACAGTGCCGCAATTTTGCGGATCTGCGGGATTGATTGCTTTAATCCCGCGGGTTTGCGGGACTGAGATTTTGGTGCGGGATTGCATTCCCTATCTGAGACTGTATGATGAGTTATAACTCGTTATAACTCAAGAAAGGGGAAAGGGGGATACACAATATATATGTAAAGTCGCGGTGATTACGCGCCCCTCTTAAACATTCTACGTTCTATTCCATCAAGCTTTATCAATTTAATTGAAATTACATGTATTTTCAAATTGTTTGATTACACAATATTCAGATCACACAAGAAGATACAAAGAACTACACATGACGACAAAACGGTCACCGGTAATCTCTATTGCTTACCTGCACTTCCCCGATACTCTTACATATTTGAAATATTTTATTATTTCTGGTACTGGTCGAGATATTTTTAATCACAACCTTTCGAGTAGACATCAATGTTTCATCTTTAGCCAAAATCTTTCTATCCGCAAGAAAACTTGATAAATGCTTCTCGTCCAATTGTAAATCTGGTTCCTGTTTAACATTTACAGGTTGCTCGACCGTCTTGGTAATCGGTACTCGATTGTTCATAGAGTTCTTTTGATACTTAGTAAATTTCCTAGAGTAACCATTAGTTATAATTATATTGTTGCCCGATTTCATATGCTTTTTTACGCCACGATTCTGAATCGATTGTATCAGCGGAATTTTCGGTTTAAATTCTTGTTGATTAAAAGATACTTTAACGTTTTCCACTTTAGGAATAGTTTGGGGTTCATTTTGGGAATCAACTTCACGCAGATTTTCCAATCTTCTTTTTTCTTTCCACTGTAATATCGCCTCCCTCTTCCTTTTCTGTTCTTCAATTTTCAATCGAAGATCTCTGGTTTGGTCATCGTCCTCCTAAAATAGTGTAATTAAAAATGAACATGAACAAGGATTTATAAATTATAATAAAAGTTAGACCTTCTGAAGATATCAAAATATTTACTTTATTTTTATTTTTAAATTTTCACAAATTATATAGCAGTTCTAGAATAATTATATATAATGTTTCTTATACTAATTAAATTTATATTTAATTAGTAGCTATTGAAATCCGTGTATTTGTATATATCAGTTGTTTACGATATTCTCTGATGGTTTAAATGGCAGTTTAATGTGGCAGCACCAGCGGCATATATATAATAGTTTGATTAAGAAACTAAAAATAGAAGTTTTTATTTGACTGTTTTTCATATCTAGCTTTGTTTTTGAAGAAAAAAATATGTTTCTAATCTTTGGATACCTAGTACGAGAAACAGAGCAAATTAATGAAATGCTTTTTTTTAGTAAACTATGATAATACATATGTATTAAATTATAATAAATTGTAAAGTAAAAACAGATACATATTTATTGGGATAGTCAGATATCGCTATCAATAATGGAGATAAAAAGATAACAACCTTCATAAAAAACGCAAAATACTTACAATTTTAACAGTAGTAACATTAGTCACTTTAACTTCCCTTACTACAGGTACTCGATCTTCTACTTTCAATACCTTAATATTTCTTTGTGGCGGTTTTACAACTCCTAATCGTTCATGAACTAACTTTTTGGAAGCAAAACTAAAATTGTCCCCTATCTTTCTTTTCATTGGTTTAAACTTAGGAGCTTGATTGTAATTTCTCATTCGATTTGTATTCATATTAAAACTGTTATTTTGTAAATTAGGGTTGTGTGGTGGTACTACATTCAAAGTGGGTTGTATGCGATATTGATCTACAGGTTGTTGATACATATTTGACTGTGGTAATGGAGGTGGTGGCTGGCTAGTGTTAATGATGATAGGTGAAGGTGTCTGATAATTATTTGGTACCATTTTCTCAACTTGGGGTGGTTGTAGATATGACCACTGATTGGGTACCTAAAACAGTACATAAAAAATTATTTACATTCAACCTAAAAAAAAAACATAACAAACAAAACTATATATACACTTAAAAGAATGAATCTTTACCTGTACTGGTGTGTACTGGTTGTTTGATCCATCCCAATACGGAGGAACTTGTATATTCTATTTAAAAAAAATATACATGTAAATATATTTAGTAAAAAAATAGTTTTTTAGTTAAATATTACAATTTTAGCAGTTCCTGGCACTTACTTGCATTGGAGCTTGTTGATGAACACCAACAGGTATAAATGTTTGCTGTTGAGGAGGTACAAATTGCAAATGATGTCCAGCAACTACAGCATTACCATGGGGATCTGACATATTTTGCATAGGAATGTTTGATGGTGGTTGCATGGAAGAACCCATATTTGACAAATTTCCTGCATTACCAGAATGCCAAGGATTAACATTTGATGCACGGTCCCATGCTAAACGTGCTACAAAAGAAATTAATATAGAAATTAACAGTGTTATTATTATACAATGTACCATTATTGTTCACATGCACAATGCCCTGAAATCTTGGATTTATAAGGACTGTTTTGTTTTTGCCATGCTGGTTCCGATTATAAAATTTTCGTCCATAATTTGGGCCACCACCTCTGCGCCTATAGCTTTGGGTACCTCTTTCTCTTCCTTGACTATTTGCTACTAAATTCAAAGTGTTAGAGATATATTTTCAACACATTTAATATTTATGTTGTATTACTTGGTGGGTCGGGTGCTGTAATTTTCTGACGTTCATTTGAAAACTTAAGTCTCTCGTTTCTTATATTTTCTTGTTCCACAGTATTACTGCTATCTGTTATATAGTGATAAATTAATTACACTATACTTTAGCAATAATTAAAAACCTACCTTCAACCGATTCATTGATAGCTTCATCTTCTTCTGGTATCAGATTGAGAACATCTTCATCATCTTGCAGCAAAGCTTCCTCATCTATATCATTTACATCAGGACAATCTCCATCATCATCATTTAAAAACTCTTCGTTTCTGTAATAAGAGTTTATAAAAAATACACAAGAATGGTATCATTTTTAATGTAATAATACTTACAAATCTGACATTTTAGATAATAATAAATCTTCTGGGAATAAATAAACCTAAAACTAAACTGGTTCCAGTTTTATAAAACACTTGAATCAGCTTGAATAATGGGTGAAAGAGAAAATATAAATGCAAGGAAAACCCAATAAATAATTAAAGAGCTTATGAATGTAAATTTTCAAATAGAGAATATTATGGAAAATATTTATTTTTTCTTTTCGTTGAAAAACTATAAAAATCCAAAATCAAAACCCTACACAACTTTTCACAAATCAAATTTTCTTTGCTTCTTGTGACTTGACCTTGAGATCTTGACGGCCTTGACGGGATGAAGGGTTTTCAAACAGATATTTCCCCAGTCCACGTTTTAATCATATAAACTTGGTTGAATTATCATATGATTGGTCCTAAACAATGACGTCATAGTAAAATTTCTTTTAAAATTTCTTTTAGAACTAATGTTCATAACATCTCATAACCTTGCACAAAGAGAAGAATAAACGTATTCAATTTAATACAATATTTTAAGTTTATGTTACTGTTCCATAACAATAAAAAAAAATAAAAGTTCTAAACCAGGGTTTCAAAAATTTCCCTATATATGCTTGAAAACTTTCGTTATGTCATTTTTGTAAAGTTGTCATAATTGTCAATTGTCACTATTTGTCATTTAAATGTCATTTTACGTTGAGTCTGCGTATGGGAATATGGGAAAGTAAACATCTTTTTTTATTTATTTAGATAATACATTTGTTATCTAAAAATAAATACTGTTTAAAAATAACTATTTTTCCAACTTTGAACTACACTTTCTTGAAGCTCGAATTAAGAGGTATATTTGGATATTTTCATCAAAGTATATGGGACTTCCTACAAATATTCCTGTATGATTTTTATTTCTATTCTATCCATTATTTGGTTACGCAAAGAAAGTTGGTCATCCATCATTTGATAGACGATTGCGTAGGTATTCTCAAATTTAAACATTCCAAATGGTTTAGAGTCTAAGCGAGACTGACCTGTGTGATCCGTCGAGAGAGATAAAGTATATCATATGACTTCAACCGCACGTGATTTTTATTTATTGTTTTCACTCTGACTTGGTATGAGGCAAAACTCGTGCCGCCTTGGCTACTCATGAATGTGACTAGTGGAACGTATATGCTATGGCTTTATTTAATAAACTATTTCCAAGGGATAAAGCTACACAATCAAAAACTCACGAAGATAATGTCAGGTGTGTATCTATCTATTTATTTCCTGCACTTTATGTTTATTTCATGAATTAAGTAACCAAACTTTAGTTATTCAGAAATCTATTTGTAATACTCGAAGCAAAATAATCTCAATGAAATAAATTTAATGAGAATTGCAACACTGAAATGTACGTGTAACATAATATAGCCATTTACGCCCATTATAATAAGTATTTTTAGCAATTTTATTTTGATATATTGCTATTATGTACTGTTTATATGATAGATAATTTACTGCAAGTAATGCTCACCTATTCATTCTTTTTTAATTCAGGTTTTAATTTAAATCTTCGTATAGCCGTAAATTATTTTAATTTTAATAAGGGAAAAAATTATTTTTGAACTCATAATCATCGATGACATGACATAATAAGCGTCCGCAATAAAGAAAATACTTATGCGAATATGTTGTTGTTATAGGTATATAATGTATGTAAATAAAAAAACTAAAATTCCATAAAACTTATGTATTTATTTTGTTATTATTAATTTAATTGAACGAAAAATGGACACGGACAATTATATTTTCGTTGCCGAAGTGAAATATCTGTGAAATATATTATAAAAGTTGTAGAAATGGCTACCGAGTACCACCGAACCTAGCCGACAACACCCGATTCGATAAGACGTAACGTAAGAATTAAAATTGGTTCATTTCTTACGTCTTACGGCATACGGCTTACGGCATACGGAGATCTATGAACGCAATCGTGTGATCGTGAAGGTCGATATCCCTTACGTCTTAACGATACGGCTTACGTCTTACGGCTACGGAACTCTGAATCCAGCATTAATACTCACCTATTCATTCTTTTTTAATTCAGGTTTTAGTTTAGATCTTTGTATAAAACTAAATTATATTAATTTTAATAATAAAAAGTATTTTGGAACTCATAATCATCATGTGACATGACATAATAATAGTCCGCAATAAAGAAAATACTTATGGGAATAACTTTTTAAGTTATAGGTATATAAGTATTTTGTAAAACCAACCAAAATTCCACAAAACTTATGTAGGTTGTGAAATAATGTGAACAAGAACATGTCATTATTTAATTCAAAACTTTTGTGGTATCCCCTGTTATAATGATTTATCATTTGTGGTTTTGTCCTATTCTTATTTACTATTCTGCTACAATATTATCATACATTCATCAATTGATATTTATTTATTTATGATAAAAAGAATTTTATACAACCAGGTACTCGATATACCACATATCACAAGTATATCTGATATTATGGTCTAGGATTATCACGGAATAAAATGTTAAATTAATTTATTATTCACAAAACAAAATTATTCTAAGCTGATACTAATATTGACCTAAGATTGAAATACCATTGAACTTTCTTATTTAAATAACATCAGATTTGCATTCAGATACAACAACATATATGTATATGGTAAAATATAGGTACCTATATCTTTTTTTGTCATTTATTTGCTAGCCTCTTTTAATTTTTGAATTCAAATTTAAAGGGTTATTTATGCCGTTCATTGATTAAAATAATAAAAATAACTTTTTCAGTGCCAGTGTTACTTGAAACTACATTATGCATCTAGACTTATTTCCTGCACACAAAATAAATTGTGGGTCAAAGTTTTTACCACATTATGATGGAGATATAGATATATAAAAAGACCAGTTAGGAAATTAAATATGCAAGAGAGATAGTTATCAATCATTCTTTGATCTGCATTAATCATGACAATAACTACAGGTACCACCTTGATAAAAGGTCTGAAACATACCTGTGAAGGATTGGTACCTATAGATTCTGTGCTATGATTTAGGTAGAACGAATAAAAATGATATATGAGTGGTTTTGCCGTTCTGATCTTTTTAGCCGACCATACCAACAGGTATGGTAGGCTATTAAGATAGATAAATATACATAAAAATGACCTAAATACAAAATAATTTCATGGTGTCTGTCTGTCTGTCCGTCTGTAACACGATAACTCAAAAACCGCTAAACCGATTTTAACCAAATTTGGCACAAAAATACTGTGGCACCCGAGAATCTGGCCATTACTTTTTGGTGGGGGTGGGGGGTTGGTAAGGGTGTATGGGAAAGGGTTAAAAATTAAAAAAAATCGTAACTCCAAAATTACAGTAGCTAGCGAAACGCGGGTTTCAATTTAAGATTAGGAATAATATTTCCAACAAAATTTGTAATAACATCAAAATCAGTCAAAGTCGCAGTTTTTAAAATAAAAAAAATATCAAGTATGGGCGGCTATACGTGCCTCCCGGCGCCAATTTTTGTAATATATTTTAGATACCATCCATCAGACCACGCTTCAACGCTCCTACGGTGAACCCATGGTGACCCAATCCGTATATTATGTGGGAGTATAAAGTCTTTTACGTATTAAAAGTTAAACTTGGGTGTTTATCTATTTATAATTAGAAGAATCAGAAATATTTTAACGGGTATAAAGTTTTGGAAACGTAAAAAAAACATTTGAGCTATACAGGGTGTCCAGGCTGAGCGTGCATTAGAAGTTTCTAGATAACCACAATATCTAGATCGGAGATTTTTTGCACATCATTGTTTTATAACGAGATCTATCGATTAAAAATATTCTCAATATGACGGCACTTCCGGGAATACCGGAAGTTGACAGCAACTTTCTTATTTTAAATGACATTCTTATTATATGACATTTGAACATTGAACAATTTAATTTTTGGAATAGATAGCCACATATCTTCTCTTTATGGCACAGTGGCTGTGGTAATCACTAAATTTGACACATATTTTTGACAGGCAGTTTTTGTCGTCCAAAAATTTTAAATATTTTTTTCTCAAAAACAGTTAATGTTCTCAAAAATTCATAAAATTTTACAGAGAATTTAAGTATGTAATAAAAAATGGGGGCAGCCATTTAAAATAAAAAACTTGCTGTCAACTTTCGGTATTTCCGGAAGTGCCGCCATATTGAAAATATTTTTAATCGATAGATCTCGTTGTGAAACAATGATGTGCAAAAAATCCCCGATCTAGATATTGTAGTTCTCTAGAAACTTCTAATGCACGCTCAGCCTGGGACACCCTGTATACTCAATCTTTTTTTTTTGATAGAAAAAGTTCATTTTTGGAATTTTGTTAGATCCACATTTGGGACATTGTTGGAAATAAGTATTTTCTTTCGTTTTTTTTATACAGGGTGCCATCTCTCGTGGGGAGATTTCTCACGTGAAAATAACATTTATTTTTTTATGTCAACATAGGTCCGTTTCTGCTCTGTTTCATAGTTACAGGGGGTTAAAGTCTTTTTAGGTGGTTAATTTTTTTTCGATTTATTATAATTTGCTTCCAAGTGCTTCTAGCTATTCGAATGAAATTTTGAGGGTAAAAGTTACTATAAGTGCGACATATTTTAATGCTAAAAAATTGTTGACATGTTCACCAGGGACGTGCATACATATGAGTTATCACTGGAATATTTTTCTAAAATAAACATGTACGCCAGTGACTTTTTTTGTTTTTTTTTCTCTTGTTAACAAAATTGTGTAGATTGTTTAATTCCAATTAAAAGTTATTTTGTCGATTTCGATCTCATTAGATAGATTAAATAAACGCATTTTTATTAATTTGCCTTAATCCAAATAGATATTCCTCATAAAAATATATGAAAAAAAGTTCCTATAAACATAGATGCGGAAATGCATAGTTTTTTTTAAAGCTAAAAGATGTTAAAATTTTAAATTTGTTTTTTGTAATTATCTTAAATACCATTATTTTTATTGAAATTTTCTGTAGGTAGCGCTCAACATCAGTAGCTATTATAAATTTGAATAATATTTAATTATAAATTAGATTAAATAAATAATTTATTAATTTTACTAATTGTGATTAATAAAATTGCTTTTTTCATCAAGGAGATAAAAATCGACAAAATATTAAGATACAATTTTTAATCGGAATTAGATGGTCTAAATAATTTTTCTAACAAGAGTCAGTAACGCACATGTTTTTTTAGAAAAATATTCCAGTAATAACCCATATGCGCGTCCATGGTAACCTATATTAACATAAAAAAATAATTTTATTTTTATGTGAGGAATCTCCCCATTAGAGATGGCACATGTTCTTTGAAACATCCTATTATGTATTAATACTTATACCATACAATCCGATCGAAAAAAAAACGGCGTCAAAGACGGCTGGGAAATGACAATCAATGATAATGTTAACGAGGACAAGCCCTATTATAGACTCGTCATTTACTCGGCCCGTACGCTTCTTTATTTATTAATGGCGCTTACTGCCAGTTGGCCTTAAAAAGTTGTAATTTATATTGAGTAAAGTGTTTTATATTGAGTAAAAATGACTTAAATGGTGTTAGGTTAGGTTTTTTTTGGAAATAGATTTGTTTTCCTGGAAACGTTCTATTCTTTTTTAATCTTCTATAATTAGTGTTAATTTTGACAAGTTGTAAGTCAATTTTCAGTAAAAGACATTTTTGATGCCGTTTTTTTTATCATAATATGGTATAATCTAGGTATTGTTTTTTGGTATATTAACTCATTTTGTATGGACTAATTATATTTCAGTTTTTCGTTTATTTCAGCCACAAAAGTCCCACATTCAGTACAGACCAAATACGCATTGTTCTATTTAGAGAATGCGATTTTCGTGGTAGGAAACTACTGTTTGACTCCAACGCTACTGAAAAAATTCCAGTGGACAAGGCGAACCAAGATAAAACCTTTGTCGAAGTTACCAATGGATTCGGATATCTTGTAGGTTTATAAAAGTTGGTGTTAAATATCATATCTTTTTATTTTGTTAATCCTCTGTTATTTTTATCAGTGTAATTTTAATGTGTTCTTTGTAGATCTCCAATCAAAAATCCGATTATCATCAACTCTCAGAGATGATATTTGGATCGGTAGCAATGAGCTTCCAGGGTAGTTATTTTAAAATACATCATTTAAGTGACCCTTCCAGACTAATGTTTACACATGTGAGTTATACAAAACTTTTAATATTATTTATGAAAATTTACTATTTTCTTTGCAGGTTTTTCAAAGTCCTCACACTCGAAAACAGAGAATGTCCACTTCAAGCCAACCTTCTCGTCTGTCAGTACCAAGCAGCTTTGAACATTCCATTAGACTAGACGATTCTGGTACGAGCAGCACTTTCTCTACAAGCGAACAGCTTTCAGATAGAAGTACAGCCTCAGATACAATTCTAGGTAAGGTATAACAGATTGGTTCTCCTATAAGACTATTATGTTTTTGTTTTTTGGAAGTAATTTTGATATTTTGAGTAGAAAATTATGGAAGTAGTTTTCTACTAAAAAATATCAATCTCATAAAATAGAAAATCGCTATTCACCTTTACAAAAAAAGTAATTTTTAACTGTCTTTGTAAAAAAGTGTTTTTAAAAACTATTTTGATCTTATGTATGTATATTTAATGCTCACAGCTGCGTTCAGTTATTGAAGAATCACGTACTCAGAACATAAAATTTCACTCCAAAAACATGGAAATTAATGGATTTTCTTTTAAAGGGATATCCTATTTTTTTCCTGTCATGTTTTATTACTGTCCAAATAATAAATTTTCTCGCCAGACAGGCTATTTATACTTATTGTACAGGGTGGACCATTGTGGTTGTTTCTATAGGGTATCTAGGAAACCGTAAGAAATATTCAAATTTTGATACTGCAGTCTTGGGTTCTTTTTTTGAAAAAATCACAATGCCGCAAACGGATCGTTGCTATCTTGATCGGTTTCGAAGCTACAGGGGGATTCTCAAATTTTGTACTTTTTGAAGATGTTCGATAGTTTGTTTATTTCAGCAACTACGCAAAAATTAATTATACATTCTAAAGGCACTTTTCTGTGTAGAATGCAGTGGCGTAGTCAGATTTTTTTCGAAAAAAATATTTTTTTAGATATTAACTATACTTCTGTTTTTTTAAATAGAACACCCTGTATATTTTTAAAGTTCCTGATTCAGCTTAGCATCGGCTTCTCGAAAATATATAACACTCTATATTTATTTTCACTATTAACCTCAACATTTCAAATTTTTCTTAAAATATCCAGTTAGTAGTAGACCGCAACGAGTAACAAAGTAAACGGTTGTCATGGTGATCGGGACATACCTTTGATGGATACGTGACATTTAATTTCAACAGATTGAAGTGTGTGTATTTTAAATAATAAAAAATGAGTAAATTTGAAAATTTTGAGAAATATAATTTGTTAGAATGTTATATTGAGTCTAACAAACATAAGCAAATGGCAGCTGATTTATATTTTGAGCGCGGGCAGTCAAACCCAGCCATTTTTAAAAGGTCAGAAAATAGTTTAATCCTAGCCACCTAGGTCACCTGATATCAATCCCTTGGACTTCTTTCTCTGAGACTTTCTGAAAAACGAAATTTATCGAAATGCAAATAGAACATTAGAAGAGTTACAAGATAGTTTTGTCGTGGCTTTGCAAAGTGTAACCAACATACACATTCGAAATGCTGTTAGCGGCAGCGTGCAGAGACGGTGCCAACTCCGTCTAGATAATAATGAGCAGCAGTTTGAACATTTAATGTAGTCTTTGTGTTTTTATTTTTTAAATTAACTGAGAAGCCCAATTGAAATAACCTGTTGAGTTTGTATTAAAATATATTTTTTTGTTTCTGTCACACTTATTTTTTATTTGCTTCGTATTGTTCGAATTTATTTAATTGCTAATACATGGATTAATTTGAAAGTAGATATTCGCTTGTTTCCTTTAATACTCGGCATGACCTATCAAGAGGAAAGTCGATATCTTTAAATAAATTGGAATTTTAAAGTTAATAGTGAAAATAAATATATAGTATTATATATTTTCGAGAAGCCCATGCCAAACTGAATCAGGAAATTTAAAAATATACAGGGGGTTGTATTTAAAAAAAAACATAAGTATATAGTTAATATCTAAAAAAAAATATTTTTTTTCGAAAAAAGTCTGTCTACGCCACTGCATTCCACACAGAAAAGTGTTTAGAATGTTTAATTCATTTTTGCGTAGTTGTTGAAATAAACAAACTATCGAACATCTTCAAAAAGTACAAAATTTGAGAATCCCCCTGTAGCTTCGAAACCGATCAAGATAGCCACGATTTGTTTGCACCATTGTGATTTTTTCAAAAAAAAAAGAACCTGAGACTGCAGTATCAAAATTTGAATATTTCTCACGGTTTCCTAGATATCCTATAGAAACAACCAAAATGGTCCGCCCTGTACATGCTTTAAAATATATTTTTTAAAATATATTTTTTTTAGATTTTGATGTACAAAATCTAAAAAATGACAAAGAACTATATTCAAATTGTGCATTAACAATATGGACTGGAAAGGGCTTAAGATTAAATTTAATATTAGTGTTAACTATAATGCTTATGTTGTGGGTAAATTAACAGAAACGTCAGAGCTCACACATTTTTCATCAGTATATGTTTTGTTCCGTACCTTAAATTAATATTAATTTAGCATACAAAGGCGAATAACATGCTATTTAATACTTAACATAAACTTATGACCATTTTGAGGTTACTTTAAGTAGTTTAATCAAGCTTTATAAGAAATTCTATTCTAATTTTTTCTACAATAATAGACGCATTAATTAATTAACATTAAATGTTTGAACTTGAACGTGAATTAAGGAATTTAAAATATATAAATTTTATTATTAAAAAAAAACTTTAAGTTTTATGGCAAAAATAATAATTATATTATTGTTTAAAAAGATGAATTAAACAGATGAGGGAACTTTTGAAACCATAAATTATTTTTTGTTATATTTTTACCAGTTACTAGTGAATTTATTTGTTAACACAATTTTTAGGGCTGTCCACAACATGTATTTTTTGTTTTAATAAAGTTGTTTTTTGTTCTGTAATTATTAGGTTTTTCAAACACATGTTAACATTTCTTCGTCCTGTTTTGTGGTTGTTTTGGACATTTTTTTCCATATTTATTTATAATACCACTAGATATATATATTTGATATCAATTAAACTTTGAGTTAAGTAATCGAGGGCGCCATTTTTAAATTCATTGTTGCCAACCAAGCACAGATTACAGCGCCGGGCTGACTAACTGGAATTTAAATTTCGCGCGAGGATTCAGGTGGTAGCCCTGCTGTAAAAAATGTCAAGTTGACGCATTTATTTATTTCCTGACATTATCATTCGTTTTGACACTTTAGTTTTGTATTACGAGTTTTTGGTTTAAATAAATAGTGTTGTGATACTTTGAGCTTAAAAATGTTACCTTGCAGTCGAACATTGTTCTTTTTAGAACCTCTTTTAGTGTAAAGTGTACAAGATAGCTTAATAGCCGTAAAAAACTAATGGCAACATTATTAGAATATTTTGAATGGGAAAGCCGTAGTAATGGCCCTTTATGTCCCTTAAGTGCTGTTAAGAAGGTGTTTCTTATTGATATAAATAATAACTGTTTATATATTTATAATTAATTTATTTTTGTTTCCTAAAATATTTTGATTAGAAGAAAATGTAGAAAATGTATAAAAGTGTGTAAAATGTATAAAATGTATAAAACGCTGTGGCGGTCAAGCTTAATCACGTGATTAAAAGTTTATTTGGTATGAACTATATAGAAGAGAAAATAGAAATCGAATTCGGTACAGTCCTTTGAATAAGAAGGTACAGTCAGTATTCAATAGTAGTGGGAACTATCGAATGAATACTATCGAAACATTCGATAGTTGCAATTCATTCGAATAATTCGATAGCTAGTAAAAAAACATTCGTTGAAAACTATTCGAATAAAAATTATCGAATAGATGCGTCATCTGCCTTGAAATATTGTATTCTAGTAATTCGGCAGCAAAAACCATTCATTTATAAAATTCATTTATTCGTCAGGATCGATTATAATAAAATATTAACTGGATTTTAATTGTCGCCCGGCGACGTAGGTTTCTTTCCGAGAAACCCGACAGCGGTCGGTGGCAATGCTATGAAAGAAGCCGGCATCTTTGATTTTTTGCGGAGTCATATAAAGATAAGGACACATTATTTTTTTTATTGAGGTGCTAGTATTTACACAGAAAATACATTATGAAGGCGCTGTTGCCATATATTGGTATTAGTTGATATTAGCAAAGAATATTATTGTTTGGCTTTAGTTAGTTAGCGATAGTATGTATAAATATTTTGCATTTTTTTTTATTAATATTCTGTTGTTAGGTTAGGTTAGGTTAGATAATAAAATATTTTGGATGTAGGAAAATTATTTTTAATGTCTTTAAGCAAAGACTGGTTTAATAAAAATAATAATAACAGTAATAATTTGTTATACCTATAACAACAAAATTTAAAATAATTAAATATAAACATTTTTTTACGTAGTAGCAAAATATAAACAACAAATTAGATGTCAAAATTATTTATATTAGATCCTATTTAAAAATAATATAGTCTTTAAATTTTTTGTGGCAACGTTGGTTTATTAAATAATAATAATTACAGAACTAATTTGTTATATTAACAACAAACTTTAAAATCATGAAATGTACATTTATCAATTTTCTAAGAAAAATATAAATAAAAAATTAGAAATCAAAATTATTTATATTAGGTACTTTATATTACTATTTAAAAATAATATTTACTTTTACTGGCATTTACTTTAAAAAATAAATGAAATATTTCTTCGCAAAAAACTACATGTAAGAGAATTAGTATTAACAAAAACAAACATTGTTAACTTTTTTTTAAATTGGCACGTGTAAACTTTTCAATTTAATTTTTCACCCCATAGTTTGAGTTCGAGAACCCCATTTACTTAACCACATTACTTAAATATGATTATTAAGTTCAACTAATTCTTATTATTAAAACATCTAAAATACAAATATGTATTTTTAAAATTAATTCTAAGTTCATCTCATCTCTTTTAAAAATTGCTACTTCTCAAAATTTCCCATTATAAAATAGACCTATAGACCATATAAAATAAAATAATTGAAAGATCGGGCTACGGAAAATCACACAAATTTTCGGAAAAATGTTGACACCTGCACACGCACACAATCGTCAATTAAAAAAAACCTACTATTTTAGTATTTTAAATATTTTAATAAACGCAAAAATAGCACAGTATTTATAAGGTGAAGTTATAAAAATTTGGAAGAACTAATAATGCACTGACGCACACAAAAATCAAACGAATACT